ACACAAACATACAACAGTCATCACAACTTGCCAATCTCTGTTGTAATAGGAGTTCTGGAAGATACAGAAATACGTCTCTACATGTAAAATGTATCCAAATTCTAATATCTATTAGCATTTTCATTTAAGTATTTCTATAATTTCAGTACATTTTCACAATAAGAACAATTTTACTAATTATTCCTTACTAAATTGAGTACTCTAGTCATGAAGTAATAAAGTTACTGTCAAGAATACATCATGAAAAGGCTAATAAAAAAAAGGAAAAACATAAATCATAATAATAAACAAGAAGCCCTGGCATATAACTAGTAAGCAGAATAGGGTAAAATATTTTACAATGATAAACAGTGAATTTAACCAGAAACAAATCATAACGGTCAAAAACAGTTCAGGGACTGGCATGATGGCCTAGCAGCTTAAGTCCTCACCTTGAATGCGCCAGGATCCCATATGGGCACCGGTTCTAACCCTGGCAGCTCCACTTCCCATCCAGCTCCCTGCTTGTGGCCTGAGAAAGCAGCTGAGGACAGTCCAATGCCTTGGGACCCTGCAACCGCATGGCAGACCTGGAGGAAGTTCCTGGCTCCTGGCTTCGGATCGGCGCAGCACTGGCCATTGTGCTCACTTGGGAAGTGAATCATCGGACGGAAGATCTTCCTCTCTGTCTCTCCTCCTCTCTGTATATCTGACTTTGCAATTAAAAATAAATAAATCTTTTTAAAAAGCCCAGTTCAGAACTTACTAATATATTTTTTACATGTATGGAACAGAATATGATTAGAAAATACAAAGAAAAAAAAATGTAATTCTACTGTAATGCAGAAGACTTCAAATTACTAAAGTAGATTCAGTAAAAAATAAGACTAAGAATGCAGAGCAATTCAGAGCCACTGTGATGCCTCAATAAGTTAATCCACCATCTGCAAGCATCCGCATCCCATAGCAGCACCAGTTCATGTTCCTGGGAAAGCAGTAGAAGCTGGCCCAAAGCCTTGGGACCCTATACCTGTGTGGGAGACCCAAAATAAGCTTCTGGCTTCTTATTACTTAGCCGCACTACTTACAGTAAGTATCTATCTACATTTTCTTTTATAATCTAAAGTACCAGCCTTAGTGTTTGCAAAGTTTAGCTTTTATTTTTAAATTTACCATGATCACAGGAAAACTATTTTATCATCACAGATTATCTGCTACCTGTCTTTTTTTTAAATGTTTTTCCTTCCTCTTTTCCTTATTTGATTGACTGGGATTAATTACTTTCCAATTCCATTTTTCCCTTGTGCCTATCTGATATTACAATTTAACATTTTAACATTTTAACATGTTCATTTAAATGAATAACTAAGGTAAATTAATATTTTATCTTCCACTAAGTACATAAAAACTAAAATATTTAACTCTGATTCAACTCTTCATTACGTACTAGACTTTCACACTGTTCCTTAATTGTATGTTTCTAGAAACATTAATTATAAACTTTTGATTACAAAAAGCATACATCATTAATTCTTTACGAAATGAGTAATTACGCACTAGTAATCTCATGTTTATGTGTTTCTTTGCTTATATATCCTTGCATTAGCACCGTTATGCTATGCTTTTTTTCGTTTGCTTACGCAATTTCTTCAATGAAAAATTATTAGTAAACTGTGTGAATTTACAATTGGGCAAACATCTTTATGCATGTTCTAGAAACACAGTTTCAGTGTGTACTGAATTCAAGGTTAGTTGTTTTTTTCTCAGGTCAGGAAACCTTCACTACTTTGTAGCAGCTAAAAGAAACCAGCTGGGAGTTTACTCAACACAAACAACTGTTTTTTATCTGATATTTTTTATACAAGGTTTATTTATTATCTGCCTCTCTGGTGACCTTGAAATAGCTGCTTTATATAATATTTCAGATCACTCTTTCTCTTGAGTCCATATTTTGCCTAGCCACTAAACTTATTATTACTACATTTTAATACTAGATATTACCCTTCTGAGAAACCTTGAAAATATTTTGTTCCTTGAAGAAAATCATTGTACTTTCAATAAATAAATGAAAGAATAAGGTATAGTAAACAAATGAATTAATAATTGCTTTCTCATAATTTTAATATCAGTAGTGTTTGCAGATCTGGTTCTGCAGTGTATTATTTAGGAAATGTCTCCCTAATGATGATATGGCTCATTTGTGTGCCCTAAAACCATGTAAGACATCTTTGAAAACTGGATGTAAAATTTAGAAAGAATTTTAACTTACTTACAGCAGGTCCCTGACTTTCAACTGGGATTTTAAGAGCTATATAAATAATATCAGTTCTTACCCAAAATAAAAACAAACAAATATGGGAAATTTTCCAAGATGTACTCTTTTTAACAGTGCCACACACAGTTAGAGCTAAACCAGCCAACTTTTTCTACTACCAACTTAGACATAGGCTAGAGTTTTTCTCATTCATCCTTCAAGCTGTTCAAATTTTAATTCCCAACTTAATGCATCCCCTTTTATGTAACATTCCAAGTACTAACATACTATCCTTCAATAATATTTACCTAGCACTTGCTATGTATATACAGTTATTCAAGGTGCTGGGGATACAACATTGAACAAAGAATTATATATATGAAGATGTATGCACAAATACATGAAAAGGAACAATATAAACAAATATTCACAATAACCCTGAACATAGGAAAACACTGTGCATATGTCCTTTGTTATTATAACCTATATAAAAAGATGATTCAGAAAACTCATACGTATTGTGATTATTACAACTGCTTTTCTCCTCTGTACTGGAGAAACTACATCTTTGCAGAAATGAAGTTTTCAAATAAATTCTCACTGACAAAGTTTCTTGCTAAATGACATTTTCAAACTTCTATTAATCTACAATTTGACACTTCTCAGTCTCAATCAGTCACAAATGTAGAAGAAATATCCTCAAATTCATACCTGTCTTTCCAATAAATCAATCAATGTAGACTACACAATATCCTCATTTAACTTCTATTTTATCTAACAGTAAATCTCAGGTTTAATACCTGTGGGTATTAATATGCTGTAGGTCAGAATGAAAAGTTCAACCAAATTTCAGCACGGTATATTGAATAAGTACTTTGATACATTTCCACACCATAAACATTTAATGAGACCTGCTCCCAACAGAGTATTTACTACATCAATTTATTTCATAGTATTGCATTTGCAGAAGCAAAGTAGAGCAAAGGTTATTCTAAATCTTTTACCAATAAAGCCTCCTGTAAATAATAGTAAGTGCAAGCATTTAATTTACAAAATTATCTAAAAGAAGTTAAATGTTCTATAAATTCTGCTTTATGTAGTTCAGACAGCCTCAGTAGATATTTTTAAATTGCATATAAAAATGTAGAAAATCCAGACATTCGTACTAGGCTGCACACACTTATGTCTGACTAAAACTGAATATCAAATGCTATTAAGGTATTATTAGAGTCTCGGGGAAATATCTTAAAAAATCTTTCTTGCCTTTTTCAGAAGTGAGCGTGCCACACAGAGGACATCTCTTGAAAATAAGGTTTGTTACCATGTCTATTCCCACTAACATTAAGACTATATGCATGTACACACACACACACACACACACACACACACATTCTCTTCCTCTATATTTCCAATTCTTACCTATCACAGTTATTTTCAACTAAAGTGATAATTAGAAGCAATCTTAGAAGATTAAAAAAAAATCACAAATCTTACATCTTCTGTTATCCTAAGAATATAGAATACAACATCTAAGATGCTGATATGATTCTATTTAGTATTGTGAAAAATATAATATACAATCCTGCTCATCTATTCTATACAATTTCACTTCTCCATTCTAGACACTTCCTAGTATTCTGCTGACTCATATGACAAGATGATAAAGTCTTATTCACAAATATGTCCAATGTGTCAGACTTCATTAGATTTGTAGCTTTTCTGCTGGGCCATATAAATTAAGAATCTTAGTACAAATTATGTTGACTTCTAATTAAGCACACTAATTCTATTTGTACAAATTCAATATAACAAATAAGTTCTGGAATTAGAACATCTAGATTTACATCATGACTACCACCTGGCACTGGTTTTCTGATTTTATGTCTGAAGCTGTTTTACCACAAAACATAAACAAAAAATAATATTTTATAGTGATACTGTTTATTAAATGGATAATTCTTAGCAAGTATTTAGGAATCAAGAAATGTTACGTGACTAATGTACTGGGGAGTCTAGCAATGTATTAGTATCTACTAGCATCACTGGTACAATTTTTTAACATTATTATGAAGACATGACATGCATAGATCTCCATTTAATTAAAAGGAAAAATATTTGACTCATTAGACTCCCATGCAGCCTCTCACAAACTGATCTTATTGACTCTAACAGCTCCTACAGATCACCCCCTCACTTTCCAACAGATGCTTTGGCATGCATACTATTCCTCATACACAGAACTTAACTTCAGGTGTTTGCTAAAGATTTCATCTGACCTATTTGCTAACCACGTTCTATCCTTCAAGAGCATCTCATCTTCACAATGTGACATACTATGCCATCTGGTTACTTGCAATGTTTATTGTTTTTAGTTTTTGTTTGTTTATATGCTTCTGCTGGAGTATAAGCCCTTGTAAAGGACAGTGATCATCTATATTGAAAAAACAGAATCATGTGAATAATACATATTTGTACATAAATCCTTCATTTCATAAGTTTTTCTTTGCAAAATAAATTCATCCTATCAATCTAAAAAATGGCAATTTAAATCCATTGGCTTCTTTGCAAGGATGTGAAATAATCAAAAGTCTACTGACAGAATATTTTCCTGCTATTGCATTCATTGGAAGACATGGAAGGTGGTAGTGAATGACTAGATAAATGAATTTTTATATTCTGATACTCTAAACTCCAACACATGAATCTGGAAACCCATTTATTTTTGCACTGACACAGTAAGCCATATTGTGTTTCTCTCTCAGCTTACCTCCAGCTCATCAAGGGCACTTCCCAGGGTTTCTGCCTGAGGTTCCTTGGGGCCTGGCATATTTTGGATGCCTTGGGAAACATTTGAAATTACGTTGAGGGAATTTTGAATTTCTTCACAAATTCTGTCCTTGCTCGCTTTGAGGGAAGCAACATCCGAATGTTCCAAACAGGCAGAACAAACCGAATGCAGGAGTGGTGAGTTCTCCTTCAGCGAGGCCCGGGCTCCTGCAATTTCATCTCTCTGGTGTGGAGATTTTAAATCCTGAGAAAGAAAATAAAGAATGCTTTCTTACAACAGATGGTTATGGGATAAAGGCTTACATAAATAAGATTCATTTTTCTGTCAATAAAATAAACAGATAAAAGACACTAAAGAGACAGCTATGTGGTAAAGCCAAGGGCACCAATTATTTCCGATTCCACCAGTTTCTGTTAATAGTTTACCAAAGGAAAGGAGACAGTTCACAGCAAGGGTCAAAATGGTACAGGTACATGAAAACTGAGATCCTGCACATCTCAACCATGTCCTTCTAAATAACTAAAATACACTGTCATTCACATCAGTTAGTTCATTAGGAGAGAGTCTGAATTATAAGAATACTCATTAGTTTTTCTCATAACATCTGAGAATTACATTGAACCTCATTGTGAAAATTAAACCAAGGCTGTTGAAACCAGTAAGTTAAATGTTCTGCAATTCAGATAGCTTTCTTCTCTTTTCCAGAAAGACTAACAAATTAATCTGAGGTCTTTCTTTCTTTGATATTTATTGAACAATAAGTTACTGAGCACTTAGTATATGCCTCCATCTACAAACATGAAGAATTTTACAAGCACCTCGATTTCCAAAAGTTCATATTCCTGATGTGGTTGGTGAGAAATGCCATGCAAACAAAAATGCAGTATAAACAAAAACATGAGATAATTTTGCATAATTACGTATGTTTTGAAGAAATGTCAAAGGAAAATGTCATGGAAGTAAGTTTCACAGAGGCAAGTAGTTTTATCTTGAGAAAATAGGATACTACTGCGGAGATGACAGTTTGAAGCTAATATAAATGAAACGCATTACAGAGAGAAGAGATTCCCAGTTAAGTGACAGCTGCTCAAAACTACCCTACAAAACATTGGGGGGAAAGCTGGAAAGCACAACTTTAACAAGTGGCAAAGCTTAATATCATGAATGACATCCATGGATTTTATGTACCTGTGACATTCTGTGGAAACAAGGGAAGGTCACCTCTGGTATTTTTCCCATAAACCAATGGCTCTAGTCCAGTAATGCAAAATAAATAAATAAGTAAATAACGATGCATAAAAGCTTAAATTTGAAGAAACCTTAAATAACACTTGTTTCAAATTCACAAGGGAATGGAAAATAACACTTAAACTGTCCAAGATGATGAGATTTTGAGATACACATCAATCAAACGTAATGTGATACGCTAGACTGGAGTCTGGAACAGCAAGACTTTCCTGAAAACTGATGAAAACCAAATAAAGCTTATTAATAGTTTAGAGTAATGCATCAGTGCTGACTACTGTGTTGTGACAAACGTAAAAAAACATTAACAATGGAAGAAACTTCTATGTAATATTTCACTGAGCATCACAACATCCTTTGAGGAAATAAGCTCAGGAATGAGTTTTTAGTACAGATGTTAAGAGACTGGTAAAATAACTGGTAACTAAACATAAATGTTTTGATTACAAACTCCATGCTTATATATTTATTTATTTTCAAAACTAGGATATCTCAGCATAATGCTGCATTCAGCTAACACACAGCTTGTGCTATTGTATTTTTAGCTACTCTCCTTTTGAAAATAAAATCTATCGACTATTTCATGCATACTTTAGGGAGGTTCCAGTATAAGGAGGACAGCGAGCTGTCAGGGCTCTGATCAGAACTACTAATTACCAGAGGAAAGACATTCTGCAGTTCTCTAGGCTCACGACGATTTTTCTCCTTGTTTCTGGCCTGAATTCTAGTTTTAGCTCTACAATGGAACTCACCTATTCTTTCGTAATGCTTTTCCCACTTATAAAAAATAATGGGATAACAACAGTTTTGCCAATTCCCTTACAAAATTGAATATACAGAACATTGAAACAAAATATATGTGGAAAATAGGAAAAATCTGCAATTATTTTATCATTTACATTTACCAAACTTGCTAAATATACTATATGTGTTGTAATTATCTTAGTGAGTTACTTATACCCCACACTTTCAGAGTAATAACTATGCTAATCACAGACAATAAACAATTTTATGTTTATAAAGGCAGTACAGCCTCTTGGAGGAATCATAATAAAAGTACAACTTTCTGAAGGAAACTCTGTATAATATAGTATAATCACAAGCTTACTACAAAATTTCTTCTTAATGACCCTTACATACACATTTTTTTAAAAAAAGAATTTATTTATTTTAATTGGAAAGTAAGATTTACAGAGAGAAGGAAACAGAGAGAAAAATCTTCTGTCCGCTGCTTCACTCCGTGAGAGGCCACCAATGGCCAGAGTTGCGTCAATCCAAAGCCAGGAGCCTGGTGCCTCTTACAGATCTCCCATGTGGGTGCAGGGTCTCAAGACTTGGTCACTTTCTACTGCCCTCCCAGGATAAAAGCAGGGAGGTGGAAGGGAAATGGGGTGGACAGGACATGAACTGGCACCCAGATGGGATACTGGCACCTGCAAGGTGAGGATCTCAGCTACTAGGCTACCACTCTGGACCCTATACATATACTTTTATTTAAAATGACCATGTCAAAAAATAACAAACAACCATACAAAAATTACAGGTTAAATCAAGGCAAACATGTGGTATCTAATCTTTTGGGATTCACTCATTTCCCTTAGCATTATAGTTTCCAGTTGTGCCCATTTAGCCACAAAGAACTGCATTTTGTTTTTTTTTAATAGCTGAGTAGTATTCCATGGAGTAGATGAACCAAAGCTTTCTTATCCAATCTTCTGCTGATGGGCATTTTGGTTGCTTCCATGTTTTTGCAATCACTGATTGTGCTGCAATGAACATAGGGATGCATGTTGGTTTGTCGTAAAACAGGTGTTTTGGATATATTCCTAGGAGTGCTATTGCTGGGTCATATGGTATGCAGATTTTGAGTCATTGATACTGTCTCAACCCAGATGTTTCGAAGAATGGAACTTGCATTATTTTTAACATATTGTTTACCCAATACTATGTCAATTAATTCCATAATGTTGTATATTGATACTGAGGCCTTGTTGGGGCTTTTAACTGACCGGATCTTTACTCTGTTAGACCTATCTTCAGACCATAGAAGGTCTCCCCAAGAGGCCACTGAACTTATCTGGACAATAAGACGCTGAACTTTATGCTAGGCATGTGTTTGCAAGCAATGAATCTCAACTGAACTTGAACTATGGTTATGCAACAAGGTGGAGGAATCCACCATGGGGGGAGGGGTATGGGAGGGGTGGGGGGAATCCCCAGCGCCTATAAAACTGTACTACATAATACAATGTAAGCAACAATAAAAAAAAAAAATGACCATGTCAAAGTTTAGCCAGATCTGAGAGATAAAACATTTCGAACATAAATTACTACAAAGAAGGCTAAGTTTGAGAAAATGTTTCTTTTGCCTTCATGGTGACTCAGAGTTCTTACTGTGGACTATAACAAATAGAATGTTTCAGGGACCTTGGAATTTTAGAAATAAAAACATATTTTGGGTTTTGAGTTTATGATATGTCATCTCTGCCCAAGAAAATTACAGATTCCCCAATGAGCAGATATTCCTAAAGAGCAAGCCTGTGAAACCTGCAGGAAAAAAACCAGGGTTGGTGCAAATTCAAAAATCACGGATTCTATAGCTTTGGAGGAAAGAGGGGAAGACCATAGAGTTTAAATTTGGGAAAATCACAACATGAGACTATGTCTCCCAAAGGACATCAGATATGATGAGCAATGTAGTGTACAGCAAAATCATTTTATTTTAAAAAAGAAAACTATTTACTTTTATAGGCAAGGCAGATTTACAGAAAGAAAGGAGGTTAGAAAGATATCCTATCTGCTGGTTACTCCAGAGAATGGCCACAGTGACTTGAGATGAGCTCATCAGAAGACAGGAGACAAGAGTTAGGAGACTCTTCTGGATCTCCCATGTGGGTGCAGGGTCCCAAGGCTTTAGGTCTTTCTCCGCTGCCTTCCCAGGCCAGAAGCACGGAGCTGGATGGAAAGTGAACAGCTAGGACACGAACTGGTATCCATGTGGGATATTTGTGCTTGCAAGTAGAAAATTATCCAGTTGAGCAACCACACCAGCTCAATAACTCATCTTAAAACAAGAGGTGGTTTAAGTGGCTGCTATAAATAGTTGTTTTGCTTTAAAAGATGATACAATGGCTTCAGAGTTCACAGGTTGCCTATTTATACTAATATTCTGAACAAACTCCAAAAAAAGCAATTAAATGATATTGTCAATTAGTGGTTTCTCTGGATGGACAAACATAAAAATTCAGCTCTGTGACAACTGCTTTTTATTTAATATCTATCTTTAATTGTGCCAGAAAAAACCTCACAAGATTTCTGAAATAAGAAGACATTAAATCCTTCCAGCTGATGAAGAAACACACAGATGGGATTTAAAAACAAGACCTTACAAGTCTGTAAAAGCGGGTAGAGAAGTAACATATGAGTTGTAACCCTGGCAAGAGAACAAAATATATTTAAGGATTTTAAAGATCATGAAATACTGAAATTGGAAAATTCCAAATTATCAGATAATTAATTCAACAATTCATGCAGCGAATATTGTTGGGACTCTGCTATACATCAGGCAATGTGTTAAATGTCAAGGATGCAAAGATAAAGAATTCACAGCTCAAAAGGGTGACAAACAAATTTATATGGGAATTAAAATAGTTCTTCATAGCACAGAGGAAAATCCCTCAGCTTGAGGATATTAAAGAAAATATATCAAAGGAAAAGAATCTTTTACTCAAGCTTCACTGAAATATAATTAACAAACAAAATGGTATATATTCAACTTGTACAATATGATGTTTCGAAATATGTTTATATTCTCTAATGATTAACACAATCAAATTAACCATACATCCATCACCACATATAGTTACTAAGTATGGCAAAGATAAATAAATTTATTTTCTTAGCAAATTTCAGTAAAATAATACAGTATTAACCATAATAACTATGTTTTTCTGTAGTCCCTCACCTAACTGCAAGCTTGTATCCTTTGGCCTGTATTT